TTTTTTTTTTTTTTTTTTTTTTTTTTTTTTTTTTATTTGCAATTACCCTATCTCCTTCAATCTCATCAAAAAGTTTCTTACCTTTTTTTTTTCTTTTTTTTTTTCTACAAAATTTAATTTTGATTTATGGGATCTCAACAAATTTCAACCTCAGCGCAAATTTCATTTCTTGATAGTGACTCAAAAGCAATTCTTAATGGTATCAACCTAAGACTTAATGATATTGATCTGAAATTATCCTTTGTACTTGAACTGCTTGCAACACGACTTCCGAAACCTGTTGAATCTACGGAACAACAACAACAACAACACCATCATCACCAGCACCATAATATAAATTCTGCTTCACAATGTGAACGAAAATCACCGGAAAACCAGCAGCAACAACCGCAACAATCTGATCATTCGCCTGATGTTTCAACGTCATCTGTTGCACATGCAATAGATTTTACTGCAGTCTCTCCCTATTCTATAGCTACACCTGTTGCAACGACTACAGCTACTGTATCAACCGTTAACAACAACGCTCCTAGTGTATCATCGCGTAAATCTGATAAAACTGATGAATGCAAAGCGGAAACATCACGTAATGATACTGGAAAAGTTGAAAGCGATGGTGACGAAGAGGATGTTGATGATTTTGAGGAAGATATTGAGGAGGTATAAATTTATTTTGATCTTTGCTACACTTAATTTTTCTTTTTTTTTTTTTTGATTTTATTGTTTATTATGACGGAAGAAAACATAATTTTAGAATTTTATTTAAAAATTTAAAATATTATTTTCATTACTGTTCTTATTATTATTACTATTATCATATTTTGGTATACGTAGTTTTGCGTATATATGTACGCGTAGAAGAATTTAAATTTTTAACTAGTAAAATTATGAAAAAAGTAACTGTGTTATTTTTCTAACAAATCTTATTAGATAAGCAAAAAGAAAAAAGAACATTTTGACAGGTCTACAAGAAGAAACTTGTTGGCAATCTTTCATTGCTTTTGCCTTTTTTTTTTTGATACGTTAGGTAGTAAATATGACTTTTGATCAATCAACATGTTGCTAGGTTGTCAAACAACGTATCTACATGATTGTAAGCAGTTTTTTTGCTTAAACTTTGACGTTTGGAAAGTTCAACTGTAAGTGTTGAAGAAACCTGACTGCCAGGGTAGTTGCTGACGAACTGTAAGTGTTAGGAGGGGAGGGACGAGGTTGACGACAGGATAGGATTGTAGTGAAAGACGAGTGAACAAATTTGCTGTTGCAAAAAAAGAATCTTGAGCATTTTCTGCTTTCTTCTTCTTCCTCTTCTTCCTCTGATTCTTCTGCCATACAGTAGCCCAATGTCATAAAAAATCTATTTTTTTAATTTTTTACTTTTATTTTCAGTACTATAACCCTATATTTCCCTCTTCCCCCTTCTCATCAAGAAACAAATTCTCTTTTAACTTTTTTCATTTAGATTCAAATTTTTTT